AAAAAAAAAAAAGCAATGTTTTGTTGTAAATTAATTTTTTTTTTTTTTTCATTTGATTAGATTTGATGATACATTTGTATTAAATCATAAGACACAGAAAGCAGAAAATATAAAGTGAAAAATGCAGAATTTAGGGAAACATAAAATGCATTTCATGCAGCACTAAATTTAAAGGTTGTGAACAAACAAGTTATGTTTACATTCATTCTCCAGGTCAGACAAACATTGGGAAAGCATTTCCTTCCCCAAACCACTATTGATAGAATATGGGGGGAAAAATCATATAATAATAATATTTTTGGCATTATGGCTGATCCCTTGCTGCTCACCTTGTTAAACAGAGATGTGAAGACTTGCTGATGGTTGCTCATGTCAATTCCTCCATAAAGCCTCAGGAGCTCGTCCTCATCCTCAGCCATAGCCTCTTCAAACGCCTCACACTGGATGATCAAGTCTTCATCATCTTCTTCTCTATAACACACACACACACTAACTGAGCATTCCAACTTGAGCTTTATTGCAAATTTCCTTTGCTCGGTGTGCACTTCTACTTTGTTTTTCTGTGCACAGTTGCACATTTCAATGAATTAAACAAACTCGCCTTAACTTCGGCAGCAGGTGAAGCAGCTGTAATCCTGGTAGATGAAAATAAACAAAGTCCATGAATATACCATAAACAATGCTCAAAAACATCTAGCGCTCTGTTGGAAAGCTCAGTTGTGTTAAAGCACAAAACAGGAGGCGTGTGCTTGAGTGACAAACAGGTGAATGCAATTAAGACCTGATCACTTCTGTTAGCAACTGCATACTAACCACACTACTCATACTAGTTTTGCAGTATGCATATTGTGCACAGTTCAGATGACCTATAGTCCAAATGTGCAATATACAGATGTGTTATTTTAGTATCATTGAGGTACTATTTTAGATTTTATTAATAAGGGCTGTGTTCAAAATAGCATAATTGCATGCTACTCATACTATTTTTGAAGTATGCAATATGAATATCATGCACAATAGGTTGCACACCTAGATTACCTACTAAATTGATCAAAATGTGCTATATACAATAAGAAACAAGAGTTAACACTTTCTTTACGCATTATGTGATCAGACTGCAATTTACATTTAAAAAAAAAACTAATTTATTTTCCAGGAAAAAACTCTAAATAAACACAAAATTATAGCATACTACTGTCTGAATGGTTGCACACTGCATGATGTTTCACATGCTATTTTTAATAAACAGCAGGTAGCATTCAGTGTATACTGTGCAATATGCAGTAAGTAGTATGCAAGTATTCTATATTGCATGCTAAGGGCATGTCTTGAACAGTTTTACTCATGTGATCAGACTGCAATTTACAGAAATAACACTAAATTAAAGCATACTACTGTCTCAATAGTTGCACATTGCATGTTATTTCATACACTATTTTTAATAAATAGCAGGCAGCATTCCGTGTACACTGTGTACTATGCAGTAAGTAGTACGCTAGTATACTATATTCCATGCTAAGGGCTGTTTGGATTAAGGACTGTGTTCAAAATAGCATTCTTCCATACTACTCACACTATTTTTTGCATACTACTCACACTGTACAGTATGCAGTAAGTAGTATGCTAGTATTCTACAAGAGCTGTGTTTGGAATGAGGGCGGTGCTCTAAACAGCATACTTGCATGCTACTTATACTTTTACGCTAGTATTCTATATTCCATGCTAAGGACTGTGTTCAAAATAGCATTCTTCCATACTACTCACACTATTTTTTGCATACTACTCATACTGTACAGTATGCAGTAAGTAGTATGCTAGTATTCTACAAGAGCTGTGTTTGGAATAAGGGTTGTGTTCTAAACAGCATACTTGCATGCTACTTATACTTTTACGCTAGTATTCTATATTCCATGCTAAGGACTGTGTTCAAAATAGCATTCTTCCATACTACTCACACTATTTTTGCATACTACTCACACTATACAGTATGCAGTAAGTAGTATGCTAGTATTCTAAAAGAGCTGTGTTTGGAATAAGGGGTGTGTTCTAAACGGCATACTTGCATGCTACTTATACTTTTACGCTAGTATTCTATATTCTATATGTACTGTAGTATCTACGTCTAGTTGAATGTACCAATGAACTCCTTGCGCATCTTGTCTCTCTGGCGCAGGTCGTCGGCGCTGAAGATCAGGGCGTTTATGACGCTCAGAAGAGTCACCATGTATGGCACGTTATCAGTGGATTGGAGTTCATTCATAATCACACTGAATCGATACTGCTGCGTCTTCACAGACTGTTAGACAAACACAGCATTGTCTCACATCACATCATGTCATGCAAACTTTACAATAGGCATATTTTTGACATTTTGACATGGTTATTCTTAAACCTTCCTTTCAAATCCCCATGCTAAAGCTAATATCATTGCTCCAAAAGAAAACCGTAATTTCCTGGTATTGAGACTTTGTTGGTTGTATGAGGCTTAAAAAGAAAATGACTGTCCGATTGAAAATATGCATGCACAAAATGTCTCCATTTTATCTGAAGTTCAGTTAAAACACCTTGTTTAACATAGTAATAAATAATCCACTCACCCTGGAAATATGATTTTCTTAGGATTGTTGTTTACCAGTACAAATATAAACATTCTTAAATCAATATACATTTATTAAGAGGCAAAAAGACTGAAGATATTAAGTCTTGTTTAAAAAAAAATGAAAAATGAAGTGAATATAAACATTGGCTACCAGAAATCCCTTACTCTGCCTTTAAGCTTAAAACAAGAGAAATATCTGCCAATGGAGTCAGAAAAATAAACTTAATTCAAAGGGAAAACAAGATTATTTTTCTTAAAATCTCATTAGTACATTACAGCCAAAATGAAATCTCCATAGACTTCTTACAATAAATCTTACAATAAATAAATAAACAAGCAAGTAAATATATAAGTAAATAAATAAAGCAAGTAAATATGTAAAGAAATATGTAAATAAACAAGCATGTAAATATAAGTAAATAAAGCAAGTAAATATGTAATTAAACAAGTAAATATATAAGTGAATAAATAAATAAAGCAAGTAAATATGTAAATAAACAAGCAAGTAAATAAATAAAGCAAGTAAATATGTAAATAAACAATCAAGTAAATATATAAGTAAATAAATAAATAAAGCAAGTAAATATGCAAAGAAATATGTAAATAAACAAGCATGTAAATATAAGTAAATAAAGCAAGTAAATATGTAATTAAACAAGTAAATATATAAGTGAATAAATAAATAAAGCAAGTAAATATGTAAATAAACAAGCAAGTAAATATAAGTAAATAAAGCAAGTAAATATGTAATTAAACAAGCAAGTAAATACATAAGTGAATAAATAAATAAAGCAAGTAAATATGTAAATAAACAAGCAAGTAAATGTGTAAATAATATGTAAATAAATAAGCAATTAAATAAGTAAAGAAACCTGTAAATAAAGAAATAAAAGCAAGCAAGTAAATAAGTAAAGAAATATTTTAATAAATAAGCAAGTAAAGAAATATGTAAATAAATAAACAAGTAAATATATAAATAAAGCAAGCAAGTAAATAAGAAATATGTAAACAAATAAGCGAGTAAATATATAAGTAAATAAATAAGCAATTGGCAGATATTTGTCCTTGTTTTAAGCAAAAGCTCACTTCATTTTGATAAATTTTTCAGAAAACAAGGCTTCTTATATTCTGTCATTTTGCTTCTCCAGTAAATGTATCTTGATTTAAGAAACTTCAGATATTTGTACTGGAAACAAGACCAACATAACGAGAAAGAGCATACTTTTTTTGCAGTGTAAATGTCACTTCTGCAGAGAGAATAAAATTCTTAAGTCTATTTAGAAGCAGCAGTGTGACGTTTTGTGTTTTTACCCACATGCAGTAAAACAATGACATATTAAGAGATCATTTGAGACGCATGTTATCTGTCTCAGCTGACCACTTCAGATCACCGACACTTAAAACTCGCTTTCTGACCTGATATCAATCGCTTAACTGATCCAGACGGAGACGCAGGAATCATATCATCACTTGCCTTGTAATGGTCCAGAGCGTCTAAAGCGAGTCTGTGTCCCTCAGAGGAGAACATGCTGAGGGCCGCCAGCAGCTCAAACACCTGCTTCTTCACCATGGTGTTAGATGTGTCCAACGCTGGAGGGAAAGGGAAAGGAAATACAGTGTTTTTAGCTTCCTCCTCCATCGTTTTAGATTCCTCCTCCATCGTTTTCTCCCTCTCCACTTTTAGGATGTGTTAGCAGCTAATTTTTGGGAGACGTAATGTGAACTTTGTACTTCTGATGGTTAAAAAAACAGCCAAAGCATGTGATAGGTGTGAAGATTGTGCAATGCAGATACTGTGAGCAATGCTTTGGAGGAATGTGTGTTTTTCTGAATTTATCTCGTCTACTGGATAGTTAGTGCACAGTTTTAAAGGAACAGTTCAGCCAAATACTTCTTTCAGACGTATAGAATCAGTGATTGCGTGACTTCGACAGACTGGTTTTTGGATTGTGAACACATGCATCCTCAAAAGAGAAGCGTGAAAGAAATCCATGCGGGTTTGGAACGACATGAGGGTGAGTAAATGACTTTTGGGTGAACTATTCCTTTACCCCTGTAAAGCCTGACACATGAAAATATAGTGAATAAAATCAGTTTTTCTGAAATGGAACAGTTTATTGAACCTTTAGAAAATATATTTACAAAAAAAAATGTTTGCATGTTTTTTGTTGTTGTTGAGTATCATTGACACGTCAGGCTTTTATGGCTCATAATTTTGAAATAAAATAAAATAAAAATTATGACATACTAAATCATAATTATGAGATAGTTGAAATTATGATATACTAAGTCATAATTATAATATAAAAAGTCATAATTATGAGATAAAAATTCATTTATGACATACTAAGTTAAAATTTGAGATAAACAGTCATAATTATGAGATAAAAAGTCAAAATTATGAGATAGAAAGTCAACATTATGACAAGTCAATTATGAGATAAAACGCATAATTATGAGATAAAGTCAAAATTATGAGAAAGTCAAAATTATGAGAAAGTCAAAATTATGACAAGTCAATTATGAGATAAAAAAAATCCTAATTATGACACAATAAGTCATAATGTTGAGATAAAATTTCATCAATTTGAGATAGAAAGTCATAATTATGAGACAAAGTGAAAATTATGAAAAGTTAATTGTTAGATTAAAAAAGTCATAATTATGAGATAAAAAGACAAAATTATGACTATAAAAGTAAAAAAAAAAATCTTTTTTTAATTGAATGGTTTACTGAAACTTTACACAAAATATAAAAAAAATATATTTAAAAAAAAGTTGCAAATGTGTTTTGTCATAATTTTGACTTTTTGTCTCATAATTGACTTATCTCATAATTATGAATTTTTATCTCATAATTCTCGTCATGATTTTCACTTTGTCTCATAATTATGACTGTTTATCTCAAAAGTCGTTATTTTTTATTTTTTTTTGGGCACAAAAAGTATTCTCGTAGCTTCATAACATTACGGTTGAACCACTAATGTCACATGGACTATTTTAACGATGTCCTTACTGACTTTCTGGGCCTTGAACGTGTCAGTTCCCAGGCAGGGTCAGAAAGCTCTCGAATTTCATCAAAAATATCTTCATTTTTGTTCTACGCACACCTAAAATTCAAATATACCGTTTTTTCATTCGAATGCGAATTTTTATTTTTAATTCGACTAATATTCCTTTTTTGATTCACAGTCTCCTCATCGCAGACAGGCACGGCACTCATTTCAGCATGTGTTTGTGTTCTGTTGGCTGTCTGCTTGTCACTCATAACACGCGCCCTATAAATGAAAAAAGCGTGAAACTATCGTGCGATATATCAAAGATTTTTTCTATCGTTATCGATGACAAGTCAATTATGAGATAAAATGCATAATTATGAGATAAAGTCAAAATTATGAGAAAGTCAAAATTGTGACAAGTCAATTATGAGATAAAAATGCCTAAGTCAAGTCCACAAGTCATAATGTTCAGATAAAAATTCATCAATTTGAGATAGAAAGTCCTAATTATGAGACAAAGTGAAAATTATGAAAAGTAAATTGTTAGATTAAAAAGTCATAATTATGAGATAAAAAGACAAAATTATGACTATAAAAGTCAAAAAAATCTTTTGAAATAGATTTTTTTTTATTGAACGGTTTACTGAAACTTTAGACAAAATAGAAAAAAAATATATTTTAAAAAAAGTTGCATCAATTTGAGATAGAAAGTCCTAATTATGAGACAAAGTGAAAATTATGAAAAGTAAATTGTTAGATTAAAAAGTCATAATTATGAGATAAAAAGACAAAATTATGACTATAAAAGTCAAAAAAATCTTTTGAAATTGATTTTTTTTTATTGAACGGTTTACTGAAACTTTAGACAAAATAGAAGAAAAAAAATATTTTAAAAAAAGTTGCAAATGTGTTTTTTGTCATAATTTTGACTTTTTGTCTCATAATTTACTTTTTATCTCATAATTATGAATTTTTATCTCATAATTCTCATCATGATTTTCACTTTGTCTCATAATTATGACTGTTTATCTCAAAGTCGTTATTTTTTTGGGCACAAACAGTATTCTCGTAGCTTCATAACATTACGGTAAGCAAGTGAAGCCAAGCTGCTTCAGTCCAGTAAGTGTTCATCTGGAGATATTACTGCAGTTATTCTGACGTTTACTTGATAAAAATCAGTCAAGATTTGACTCGTGAAGCTCCAGCTCGAGAATTACACTAAAAGAGCTTTGACTGGATAAAACTCTCTAAACTATCGATCAGACGACAGAAGGCATGGAGTGGCTTGTGTGCAACAGGTTTAACAGCAGAGTTTGATCATTTGGAGATCAAATATGATACAGTAAGATTGCTCTACCCTGTGACAGCTTGCGCACGTATCCCTCATTATCCACGATGAAGTGAATCCCGGCGGATGAGTTCATCACGGCTCTCACACAGCTCACACACGTCAGCTGCAGCAGAGCGTCTGCGATTCGAGAGCAGCCGCGTCCCGACAGACGGTCCAGGGCCTCCAGCAGCAGGTCGAGGCCCGAGAGCTCCAGGAACTGCGTTCTGAAGATGAACGAAGGTCTTACAGGTTCGGAACGACATGAGGGTGAGTAATTAATGACAGAATTTTCATTTTTGGGTGAACTATCCCTTTAAAAGATGTGAGATATTCTAATAAGGCTCCCTGACGCACACCTAAAATTCAAATATACCGTTTTTTCATTCGAATGCGAATTTTTATTTTTAATTCGACTAATATTCCTTTTTTGATTCACAGTCTCCTCATCGCAGACAGGCACGGCACTCATTTCAGCATGTGTTTGTGTTCTGTTGGCTGTCTGCTTGTCACTCATAACACGCGCCCTATAAATGAAAAAAGCGTGAAACTATCGTGCGATATATCAAAGATTTTTTCTATCGTTATCGATGACAAGTCAATTATGAGATAAAATGCATAATTATGAGATAAAGTCAAAATTATGAGAAAGTCAAAATTGTGACAAGTCAATTATGAGATAAAAATGCCTAAGTCAAGTCCACAAGTCATAATGTTCAGATAAAAATTCATCAATTTGAGATAGAAAGTCCTAATTATGAGACAAAGTGAAAATTATGAAAAGTAAATTGTTAGATTAAAAAGTCATAATTATGAGATAAAAAGACAAAATTATGACTATAAAAGTCAAAAAAATCTTTTGAAATAGATTTTTTTTTATTGAACGGTTTACTGAAACTTTAGACAAAATAGAAAAAAAATATATTTTAAAAAAAGTTGCAAATGTGTTTTTTGTCATAATTTTGACTTTTTGTCTCATAATTTACTTTTTATCTCATAATTATGAATTTTTATCTCATAATTCTCATCATGATTTTCACTTTGTCTCATAATTATGACTGTTTATCTCAAAGTCGTTATTTTTTTGGGCACAAACAGTATTCTCGTAGCTTCATAACATTACGGTAAGCAAGTGAAGCCAAGCTGCTTCAGTCCAGTAAGTGTTCATCTGGAGATATTACTGCAGTTATTCTGACGTTTACTTGATAAAAATCAGTCAAGATTTGACTCGTGAAGCTCCAGCTCGAGAATTACACTAAAAGAGCTTTGACTGGATAAAACTCTCTAAACTATCGATCAGACGACAGAAGGCATGGAGTGGCTTGTGTGCAACAGGTTTAACAGCAGAGTTTGATCATTTGGAGATCAAATATGATACAGTAAGATTGCTCTACCCTGTGACAGCTTGCGCACGTATCCCTCATTATCCACGATGAAGTGAATCCCGGCGGATGAGTTCATCACGGCTCTCACACAGCTCACACACGTCAGCTGCAGCAGAGCGTCTGCGATTCGAGAGCAGCCGCGTCCCGACAGACGGTCCAGGGCCTCCAGCAGCAGGTCGAGGCCCGAGAGCTCCAGGAACTGCACCATCCAGGTCTGGTCACTCTTCTCCAGACGCTTCTTCAGGCCCGAGTAGTTGACCACGTTTTTTTTTTTACAAATCAAGTGCTTAAAACAGATTACAAGTGTATTTTAGGATGCTCACTGACTTCTTAACATAAACACTTGCGTGTTATGGAATAAATGTATTTCAGTCTATTGTACATCCATCTAAACTGCTGATTCGACACGATCTGCACTTCATATCTGATTGTCCTACACAAAACACAGCGTTGGAATCTGTCCCATCAGCCACCGCGGGACGTCCTGCAGGGATTTACTGCTGACAAAAGAGCATTTATGCCACGGCGAAGCTCAACAAAAGTGCCAGAGCGTCTTTGGCACTGGATTCAGTTTTCCTTTTTCTACCCCAGTTTGTTTTGACTGAGAGAAAGTCAGAGAGATGCTTTATTTAGCTTGATAGAAAAAGCTATTTTAGATGTTGGCTTGGGGAAAGTTGGGCATATTTGGGCTTGTTTCGTCTCTGGATGCCAGTTACTCAATATCAAGACCCTCTCAGAACAAGAAATCACAAGAAAAGTTAATTTACGACACGCTGAAGCTGATTCAAATCTACTGAAACAGACAATCTGGTGAAATACCGGTCATGCCGTCACTCACAGCTGCTCAGATAAGGCAGTTTCTGCAGTTTAGAGAGCACATTGCGCAAAAGTTCATGCAAGAAGGAATCGCCGCATGAATGCCAGGAATGTCCTTCACACAGACCCTCCAATGTCTAAGAGTATGTAAGACTTCAGCACACGGTCACATGCTGCAGTCAGGAAGGAAAGGGAAACTCACAGAACAATACGACTCGACGCTTCTGCTTTTCTCACTTCTGTATACTGTGGTCGTTTTTCCTGAAGAGCGAATTGCACAAAATCATAAAATCAGGTCATATTTCGACCCAAAATCAAGCAGATAGAAAGAGGGAATTATATCTTGCTGAAGCATATTTCTGGGATGATTATTTTCATGACTATTTCATGACAAAGCATTTTTTCCTTTAATAATCATTTTGCACATTTTAAAAATCCCACTGCATTGCTATTTTTTTTTGGGGATGAAATTGTCATGGAAATAATGTCACAAAAACACACAATTTCTTTTAATAATCATTTTAAACGTTTGACTTTAAAATCCCATTGTGTTGCTATTTTTCATGATGGAATTGTCAAGAAAATAATGTCACAAAAAGCTCATTTTACTTTAATAATCATTTTAATATTTTAACTTTAAAAATCCCATTGATTTGCTATTTTTTGGATGTAAATAATCAAGAAAATAATGTCACATTTTGGTTTTATAATCATTTTAAACTTCTAACTTTAAAAATCATATTGCATTGCATTTTTTGGAGTGGAACTGTCAGGAATAAAATTGTCACAAAAACACATTTTCTTTTAATAATCATTTTAACATTTTACCTTTAAAATCCCATTGCATTGCTATTTTTCATGATGGAATTGTCAAGAAAAAAAATGTCCCAAAAAGCTAATTTTCCTGTAATTGATTTGCTATTTTTTGGATGTAAATAATCAAGAAAATAATGTCACATTTTGGTTTTATAATCATTTTAAACTTCTAACTTTAAAAATCATATTGCATTGCATTTTTTGGAGTGGAACTGTCAGGAATAAAATTGTCACAAAAACACATTTTCTTTTAATAATCATTTGAACATTTTACCTTTAAAATCCCATTGCATTGCTATTTTTCATGATGGAATTGTCAAGAAAAAAAATGTCCCAAAAAGCGAATTTTCCTGTAATAATCATTAATATTATTATAAATCATTGAATATTTTAATTTTAATAAAATCCCATTGCATTGAATTTTTTTGAAGTGGAATTATCAAGAAAATAATGTCACAAAAAACACATTTCCCTTTAATATGCATTTTAACTTTAAAAATCCCAAAGAATTGCTATTTCTGCAGAATTTAAATTTTTTTTAAATTCACAAAAAGCTAATTTTCCGTTAATAATCATTTTAATATTTTAAAATCTCATTGCATTGCATTTTTGGAGTGGAATTGTCAGGAAAATAATGCCACAAAAAACAAACATTTTCCTGAAATAATCATTTTAACATTTTAACTTAAAAAATCCATTTGCATTGCTATTTTGGATGCAATTGTCAAGAAAATAATCTTACAAAAAGCAAATAAATAAATAAAAAAATAAATAATAATTAGTAATTATGTTAAAATTTTGACCTTAAAAATCCCATAGCATTGCTACATATCATTGGAGATTGTAAAGAAAATAGTTCACACACACACACAAAACATTGGAGTGAAATACGACCTGGACAAGTTTTAATGGGATTCACCTAAATACTTCAAAGAAGCAGCTAGAAAGTCCAAACAGTCCAAAGGCTATTTGACTGTAACGCACAGATACAGTGACGCGTCTACTCTGTGCCGATCTTGATAAAGCTTCTCTGTGAGGTCAGACACTCTCAAGGGTGACGATAACCTACATATGAACAATACAATCACGTGTGTTTGTCACAAACCTGCAAACATGAAAGTCACTAAATAAAGTGTTCCTCTTCAGATGATATTTGGGTGAAACTAGCTACGCAATAGTTGAGTGGAAAAGCACAGGTCCATGTAAGTACAGAGATTTCATATAAACACTCATGCAAACGACAGCTTGTTCATTTCACTGGAATGTGTGACTTATTAAGAGCATCACTAGAAATAGTGTGAATTTATCACATTTCCTCCTTTTCTGGGTGTCACGCTTACATGACACAATCTAACGGGACAAACAGCAGCTGTTTCCTGTGAAATGCAAATAGGAAATATTTAATAACCACTTACATAAAATGACATGGATCGAGCCACAATGATAACAGCCTGCATAGAGAGCAATGCAGTTTTGTTTCTGATGACTGAGTGCATTATTCAGTATTATATACACCCATAAGCCCATACTTAACTTTTACTGACTAAGCAGACACACCCGACTACACTGGAAATCAATAATTACAATAAATGTCCACTGTTACTGGCAAGATACCAGATTACTACAGTAAAACTGCAATAATGTGGTGTTATTCACCATAAAAATAAAAAAAAGAATCAAAATAACGGATTGTGAAAGGTTTTTACACGATTTTCATTTAATAATAGCTAATGTAAAAACTATGATTTTAAAAATCACATTTTTTGGGATGGAACCATCAAGAAAATGTTACAAAAACACATTTTCTTTTAATAACCATTTTAACATTTTAACTTTAAAAATCATATTGCATTGCTATTTTTGGGATGGAATTCGGGGTCGACCGATTATCGGCACAGATATTAAGCTTTTTTATGGTTATCGGTATCGGTCATTTGCCGATAAAATAATTTAAAAGCATTTAAAGAAAGTTTTTGTCAGAGCCCTTGTTATTCTTAAGTTTGACATTAATGTTCATTTTTACACCAGACATATATATATATATATATATATCGGTTCAAAATATCGGTTATCGGTCTACTTGATCTGTAATAATCGGTATCAGTATCGGCCCTGAAAAACACATATCGGTCGACCCCTAGATGGAATTGTCATGAAAATAATGCTACGAACAGCACAATTTCCTTTAATAATAATTTTAAGATTTTAATTTTAAAATCATATTGCATTGCTATTTTTGGGTAAGGAACTGTAAATAAAAAAAGTCACAAAAGCAAATTTTTCTTTATAATCATTTTAAGATTTTAATTTTAAAATCCATATTGCATTGCTATTTTTCAGGTAAAAAGGCAAATTTTTCTTTAAAAATAATTTAAAAATGATAACTTTAAAAGTGCAGTTGCATTGCTGTTTTTGGGGATTTGATTGTAGTAATCGTGACAAAATGTAATGTAATGTGGTGTTATTCGTCTCTGTCAACAAAAAATAAATAAATCAAAATTACAGACTGTGAAAGATTTTTACACTGTTAGAAGTCACATATTAATTTACAAAAACAACAAACAAAAAATTATTTTGTAATTAATTGTGAATTTACTAGCAATTTCTGAGTGAAAATGGTTTCAAAGTATTGTATTTTGTCAAAAAATGTGTGAAAATAAAGTCTAAACACCTGATTTTTTATCTCTTTTGTCCATCCAGGGTTATTATACAGAGCAAATCCATCTGATTTAGTGTTTTTACAGACTGCAGCTGCATTTCAGCATAACATCTGCTTCATATTAAGACTCTTCGTCAACTCCAGCACTAACAGAGAGCAGTGAAAGGACAGAAAGCTTCTCCTCCTCCTCATCTGATTGCTGCTGTCCATCTGATCTCCTGAATATATCGCCCACACTCATGCATTTACACCCACACAGTGAACCAAATCACTATCTGTGACAAACAACTCAAGCCTGAAGAGGACAGCATGTCTTCAAATGACGAGACAGCATCAGTAAAGCATCTTTACATGCAGTAACTTTGACCCTGTTTACATACAAACGACATGCGATGATACAAACAAACAAACACTGATCTCAGCTGATGCTTGGCTTGATATGACAAATGCAACATTGTTTCCATATTCGGATCAATAAACAATACACAAATAATAATAAAATCTCCGCTGTTTTACCGACAGTCAAGCTTCATCTCCGAAACATGGCGATTTTTCCTTCTCAGCGCCATATTCATGATGCATAATGACACTAGTAAGGAAATACTTCAGATATTTGTATGAAATTAGGTTTTACTTGAACTCAGGTGGGGTTTTTATGGTATAGAGGAAATCTTTAAGATATGAAATATTCATTTGTCCTACCTGTGATTCGGCGAGTGTCCTTTATGATGTGATGAAGAGGAGAACTGATGCGAGCAGACACATTCCGGGCGTCTCTCCTGATAGTTTGAAGTATTCCTGGCGGATGAGGGTGAGATTGTTGGACTGACTCAAGCTGCTGCTGACACATGTGCTGACCACGCCCACTGAGCGCGACGGGGCGTGGCTTAACACGCTCCTCTGCCAATCCAATGGAATACTGGAGGACTGCATACTGCGACTGTGCCGAAGTATGCAACAGTAGACCTTTTAAAGGAACAGTTCACCCAAAAATGAACATTCGCTGAGCTGACAGTGTCCTCACCCTCAGATAATCCGAGATTAGGATGAGTTTGTTTCTTCATGAGATTCGGAGAAATGTTTTCATTTCATCACTTCATTGTTCAGCAATGGATGCTCTGCAGTGAATGGGTGCCGTCAGAATGAGAGTCCAAACAGCTGATAAAAACATCACAATAATCCACAAGTAATCCACAGCACTCCAGTCCATCAGTTCACATCTTGAGAAGACAAAAGCTGAAACAAATCCATCATTAAGACATTTTAACTAAAATACGAGTCCATAATCCATAATAACGCTTCCTCCAGTAAAAAAAGAGAATCTCCTGTTGTCTCTCACATCAAAATCCAGACACATATTTGTTTAGAGCTGTTTAAACGCTGCTTGATCTGTGCAGATTTAATGGTAAATCCTACAAATAGAATATAATGAAATAAAATGTCTCACATGAGTCCCGTAAAGCCTTTGAGGCAACCGCAGAGGAAGGTGTTTCCATTGCTGTGGGCAAGTGATGCAATGCTACATTTCTCCAAATCTGATGAAGAAACAAACTCATCTACATCTCGGATGGCCTGAGGGTGAGCACATTCCTATACCTTTAAACAGCAGGATGACAGTAATATTTAGCCACCATATCTTCTCTACTCTCTCGTTTAATGCACAAAGGCTGAAGCTGTTTTAAACTGTCATAAACAAGACAGACTTACATATAACAAGTTAAAATGCATATTTCATAAGTAAAAACATGCTTTGTTGGCTAAAAACAAATGCTTTCAGCCTTTGGTGCATTAATTATGACAGTAGGTTATGGTTAACACACGCAAGGCTGCAGGTCCTGACAACATACCAGGCCGGTTAATCAGACTGTGTGGGCTGCAACACCTCCAGCACTAGGTGCCCCACAGGGCTCTGTGCTCAGCCCGCTGCTCTTCACGCTGCACTGCCAAGTTCAGCTCCAACCACATCATCAAGTTTGCAGATGACACAACTGTGTTAGGCCTCATCAGCAACAATGATGAAACACTCTATGGCTCAGTGGCTCCACTTCCTGTGCTGACTTAAAAAAGCAAGTCTCCCTCGACCCATCCTCACCACATTCTACAAGGACACCATTGAGAGTGTGCTGACCAGCTGCATCAATGCCTGGCATCAAAACTGCAGTGCCACAGACCGCATTTTCCTTGCACGATGCTCCAGTAAATCCACCAGTATTGTGAAGGACCACACCCATACCTCCCACAGTCTCTTCCAGCTCCTGTCATTAGGTAGGAGGTACCGGAGCACC